TGCCTACTCCTTCAGATCAGGTTCAAGAGGAGGATGGGGAAGCAGTGGTCGAGATCATACCTGATCAGGAGATTCAGCCACAAAGACCTTCACGATATGTCTTTGACCGTGTGGGTCGTGGGGTCCCAAGGAAGCGGTATGATCCTGAATACGAGGATGCTCGTTCTCGATATCCTGTCGCCAATGTGGCTAAGAGGAACCTGTCAGCAGAAGCATGTGCTTTTGCCACTGCGGTGTATAAGGAGGAATTGCCCCAAAGTTTGGAGGAAGCTATGCAGCAGGAAGAGTGGAAGGCTGCAATGCAAGTGGAGATGAATGCTCTTTTAAAGAATGGCACTTGGGAGAGAGTTGTACGTCCAACTGGTAAGAAGTTGGTTGGATGTAGATGGGTGTTCACCATCAAGAGGAAGGCTGATGGATCCATCGAACGATATAAGGCAAGACTTGTGGCGAAAGGCTACACACAGACATATGGGATAGATTACTCGGAAACTTTTTCCCCTGTGGCAAAAATGGACACGGTCAGGATATTATTTTCCGTTGCCGCAAACAAAGATTGGCCATTGTACCAATTTGATGTAAAAAATGCCTTTCTACATGGAGACCTACAAGAAGAGGTGTATATGGAGCCTCCCCCAGGATTCTCGAGTGAGTTTAACGAACAGCAAGTGTGCCGACTCAAGAAAGCACTATATGGGTTAAAACAATCTCCAGGAGCGTGGTTTGGACGTTTTACAGTTGCTATGAGGAGGTATGGCTTCAAGCAGAGCAACGGAGATCATACGCTCTTCATCAAACGGAGAAGAGGCCTTGTTACATGCTTGATTATCTATGTTGATGACATGGTGATTACTGGAGATGATACTGAAGAAATAGCCCGACTCAAGGAGAACCTGTTTGCTGAGTTCGAAATGAAAGATCTGGGCAGTCTCAAATATTTCCTAGGGATTGAAGTGCTAAGGTCCAAACGAGGAATTTTTATATCTCAGCGAAAGTATGTCTTGGATTTATTGGCTGAAACTGGAATGCTTGACTGTAAGCCGGTCGAGACACCCATCATAGTGAACCATGGCCTACAAATTGTTGAAGGGGCACCTGGTGTAGATCAGAGAAGATATCAGCACTTGATAGGAAAGCTCATATATTTGTCTCATACTCGACCAGATGTGGCATATTCAGTGGGAGTTTT